CCGCCGCTGCACCGAGAGCAAGCCGCCGAGTCCGCACGCCGCTCTGCCGCGCCTGCTCCGCTCGCGCGCCGCTCCTCAGTCACACAGGCGCGGCCGGGAGCCCGGAGACACCGTCCCTCGCGGCCCGCCCTCCGCCTCCGCCTCTGCCGCCCCCGCCGCCCCCGCTGGCCGCTGCGCTTGCCCCCGCCTCCACCGCCACCTCCACCTCTACCTCCGCCTCCTCCCCTTCCTCGTCTCCGCCTGCTTCTAAGCGGCCGCAAGCACCGCCCGCGCCCCGCCCCGGCGGCGGCGCAGCTCCGCACGCCTATTGGTCAGATGTCGCATCTTTCACATATAGATCCCGCCTCTGCTCCCGGGCATCCTCCGCCTCCTTATAATCCCGCCCCTCACCCGTCAGCCCCGCCCTGACGCTTATTTCCGCAGAAATATTGGTTCACTTGCGCGTCCCTCACGGCCAAGTTCTGCCTCCACTCTCCGGCAGCCTCCGCCTTTCCATAGGCCGTCCCCCAACAATTCCCTGTCCCTCCCCAGCCCTTCCCGCCCCTCCCTGCCCGGACATCGAAGTTCCGCACGTTTATTGCTCAGGATGCACGTCCCTCAATTTAAGGTCCCGCCTTCGCTCCTGACTGCCTCTGCCTTTCCGAGAGCACGCCTACGCCCCGCCCCGATATCGATGTTCGCACGTTTATTGGCCAGCGCACACGGGTCCCACCTCCTCCCTACAGCGCCTTCCCGGCGGAAAAATCCCTGTAGCCTGCGGGACTGGCTTGCTTTGCTGCGGCTGCCTTGCCCCGCCCTGGGCTGGGCTACCGTCATTCCTCAAGAGGGGGTCCACTGTGGGGTGACAGTGGGATGGGACAAGGGACGCGGGAGCTGGACAGCGAGGCTACGTGTATGGCCTGCGGCCCCACCTGGGACTGACGGTCTAGGCGTCGCGACCTGGAGTGGGGACCCCTGGCTGTCAGCGACTGAATTTCTGTGCCCTCCGCCCTCAGGCTCATCCCTGTCCTGGGTGGGACACCTGGCTCCAAGGGGCTGCTGACTGGGGCGCCCGAGGCAGAACCTGGAGGCTCCTTTTAGAGCGGGAGCCGGGATAAAGCTCAGACTCTGAAGCCAAGTGTCCCGAGGGCCTGAAGGCCCCAAGGTGAGAGGAAAGCACACCCGCCTAGGCTCTGGGACCAGGCAGCAAACTGAGTGTGTGGGAGACACTGTGGGGAGTGTGAGGGTGAGGGGCGCTGGTGTCTAAAGTGGATTGCCAGTGGAATCCCGGTGTCAGGGAGCACAGGCCAGCACGAGGTCCTTCATCCGCTCTGAAGGGGCTGCTGCGAGGCCTCCAGAGCCCAGCAGAACTGGCTGTCAGACAGCTGTTGGGGACTGCTTCCTGGCCAGATGGCACTCTGAGAGGGCCAGATGCCAAGACCTGTGGTGAGGAGGACTGACTTCAGGAAAGACCAAGAAAACAAGTCCAGATTGCACGCACCCACGGACTCAACCTCCTGTCCTTTGACCTAACTTTTCACCACATAGAAGCAAACCTTTGAACCAGGATCCAAAGGCTTCCATGTCCACAACATGGAAAAGTTTTACAACAGATGTAAGAAGTAAAGGCACACCACTCAGGCACAATCTGCAGTCCGCTACAAGTCTAGGACACCTCCTAGCTGAGGTATGCATGGGAAAGAAAGTTATGAGTCATAATCACTTTACAACACAGCTTAATCACCAGGTTCGCTGAATGTGGAGGTGTGATTCCATAACTGGACCCCTCTCTAAAGAAAACTAGACAGCAACATAGTACATGGGTATGCCCATGCATGCCTGGCCTGTGAAATTAACAGCCAAGTCATGTATTATCTAGCTGTTCACCCAGATGCACAGCTACCTGCCCCTGCCCTTGTCTTTTCCCATTAGGCTATCACAGCAGTTCTTGACTACTTTCCCACTTAAACACAATCGTTTTTCATTTTCAGTTTACATTTTTAAGAACTTAGTTCAATATCCAGGAGCTGATTGTGGAGCTATGCACTGCATATATAGAAAAAGTGGGGGGGGGGCAGAAGCACAACATTATATCTACTCAAAGCATCTTCCATTTCGAAGCCTGACCCTGAGTCCAGTGAGTGGCTCGCGTGATGACCAGATTGCAGTCACTCTTTTGTCTCTTGTTAACCAAAGCATACATACTTAACGCATGGGCCTCTTAAAACCCAGGGACAGGAAAGATATCATCTGGGGATGTGTGAGCCCCTTGATTACCACAGAGGAATCCTGAATTAGACTTCACCTGGGAAAGAAATCATCTACTGTGTTACTCTATGAAGATTTAAAGATGCTTGTTAGGATAGTTATTTACTTTGCTAGTTCAAGAAGTAAAGTCCTCCGAAAAATACGGAAGTGTCATGTGACTGTTACGTAAGATAACCACCAGAAGACTTAAAAATTTTTTATCTCAGTACATGAGCACCAAATCATGATTTTGCAAGTGAATTATTCATTTGCCACTTTTGTTTTGAAGGATGATGAATAAGTGTGTAGAATAAAGAGGACTTCTGTAACTTACTTCCATCATTTATATCTCTCAAAGTCTTGTTATGTAAGTGTTGTATACAGTCTTTGCAAACATTTACATTTAAGTTGTTACTTCTTTTAGCTATTGGAGAACACTAACATACTACAGCTTCATCACAAGTAATAATGAAGGTAAATCTGACCCAGCTATGATAGATCTAGAATTTTTCTTTGGATCGTGGATGAACTTACCATCATTTGGAACCTAAACACTGAATATTGGCTTCTGATCATGGCCTGCTACCTTTCAGAGTTGCTGGTAGGTGGCAGGCTGTCTGCCCTATCCCATGTTTGTGTTGGAGGCACAGACTGCAGAAGACACCTACCAAGTACTCAGTCCTGGTAGGGCGTGGATGTGTGCTTCTCTTGGAGATACTTCCAACAACATTCCTTCATGTTGAGTTCCATTTCACACAGGATAGAGAGTCTGGAAAATACACTGCTTTACGTGGATTTTATTTGAGGTTCAAACTAAAAGGACTTTTTAGTGGGATTGCTTTTTAAGTGTTACAAGCCTTAGTTTTTTTTCAGGAGGCAATTTTGGACACTTTTATAACTTACATCTGAAAGAACATCAAGACATTTTTATACCTTGTATATTCAGGAATAAATTAATTTTTCTGATCAAGGATAAAGGTATAACTCATGGAATTATTTGCCAAGTTTAATATTGAGAAATATAGTTTTCATAAAATTTACAAGAATATCCATGACCACTGTTCATTTAGATTGAATAAACAAATACTGTATTTGTTTTACTTATATCGGTATTTTTGTTTTATATCCAAGTTCTGGGCACAGAGTTTGTGTGCAACTAATTTTGCCCAATGAGATTAAAATATTTCAAAATCCACCATACAACATGTTTGCACAAGGGCCTTGATGTGTATTGTCAGGGACAGTTCACTGTAACCAAAAAAAAAAAAAAAATATGCACACACAGTCTGCATGGAATTGTCATGGATTTTTTTCTTCTTCTATTGATTTTAATTTCATTTCTGATTTTTAAATTTTAAATAAATTATGCCAATTCATAAACATTTGCATTAAAATAGCTCTATATGTGTTATTATAGTGAACAATCTAAGAAGTACATATGCTATAAAACTTTGTACTTTTGTTTCTTCTAAACTTCAGAATTTCAGAATATTTCACCTAATACGGGCTGAAGTCAACATTTGAAATGCTTATAGAATATTTCAACAATTACAGCAAAAGAGTAATTAATCTCTAGTGACCACCAAATTGTACAAGACCTGATAAATCAATTTAAGAGCATGTTTGTTGGGGCCTTTAGAAATACATTTGCATATACAAAATCACATAATAATTAAAAATGAGCTTTACCTATCAAAGCTGACAGAGATTGGCTTTTACTGGAAACAGAGTGCCCACTATTGATTAAAAATTTATAAACTTCAAGTGAAAATTCTACTCTTCAGATGAATCTTAAGGCCAGCAAGACAGCTCAGCAGACTAAGCACCTGCTTAGGCAAGCACAGGACCGAAGTTTGATCCCAGGCACCATATGCCACACTGGCTCCGCCCCCAGGCACACTGAGCTTGCTACTTAGTCTGAGAGTGGTGGAACAGACCTGTCCTCCAAGCCCTGGGGAGGCTGAAAACAGTAGGATCACTATGAGTCCGAGCTGCCTACTGAGCTCTGTTACCAAATACATTTAAATAAATAAATAATCTTGGTCTGGAGAGGTAGCTCAGCAGTCTAAGTGCCTGCCTAGCAAGTACAAGGACCTGAGTTTGATCTCTGGCATGGTGGTGCATGCTTATAATCCCAGCACTGGGAAGGCTGAGACAAGAGTATCACTTCAAGACTGAACTATGTAGTGAGAGCCTATATCAAATAAATTAAAAATAAAAATAAAAATGAATTTTGCACAGCCATTGCGTTATTTTCTTGTTTTGTTTTGGTTACTTGCAAGTGAATATTCTACTCTTAATCAGCCCTTGTTTCACTTCCTTCTGTTGAATAGTTTTGACAACGTTCATGGGTAGTGGAAGGCACATAGTCAGTGGTTAGTAGTGGTTGATACATTGTGTCAAAGTGAGAAGTTAAAAGCTTAACTAAATCTGACGAGCAATTCCACACCATAGGGCATGGAGGCCTCATGCTGTGAAGGCCACACCCTAGAATGACTCATCGCTTACAGGATATAAAACAAATTTGAAGAAGCATGGAACGTCTACTTCCCCAGAGGAGCTCTGGTCTTCCCAGTCAGCTTGGATGTCATCTCTAGGCTTCTAG